CCGAGTTTTTTTGCCAATATTACCTGACACAAAATGTTTTTCAAATTTTCATTGATAATGTTGTTGATCATACTGAATCAATTGGCAATACTTGCTTTGCTATAGAGCAATTCTTTTTCTATGAAGATATTATATCTAGCCATCGAACCATGTTGTTTTCATACGCTATTATATTGTTAACGTGGAATATATAGATCATATTTCATAAATACTTGTGACTACAAGCACAATAGCTTAGGTTTCATTCTTTTATTGGCAACTACGAAAAGGATAAAGAGCAGCAACGCATATCATTAATCGTCCACATCCTCTACCGCTGAATCAATATCTTCTTCTTCATCTATCAATTGTTCCTCAGTTTCTTCCGTGAATCGATCAGACTTCTTGAGCAAGTCTTCGATCTTATGTGCTTCATTGATATATCCTATAGCAGTTGCTTTACTCAAAGATATCATTCATTGGTAGGCCAGATATCGAATATCTCTGAAACTAAAGTTAGCATTCATGTCACGTACATAATTCTTCAAATCAGTGCATGCTAATTCAATTGTATTGAGCATATAATGTTTAACTGGCAACCTACAGAAATACTTTTATCGATGCAAAAAAAAATTTGAAATCATTCAACTAACCGCAAAATATCAACATTGTTTGTTTTGGCTACCTCATCGACCACATAACGTTTTGGTGATAGATCATCGAAAGCGAGCAAGAGTAATTCTGCTTTAGTGGCTTTAACACAAACTCTGATTTTATGATTTACTAGCCAATGGGCGATAATTTCTTCTCTCCATGCCCTCTTGGGAAGGATGGTGTCTTCAGTAAGTTGGTTATACCATGTCGCATTATCAATAACCAAAACAACCTTGAGAGGTTGGCCTAAATGTACCAAAGATGGAATTCATAGTAAAAGATAACAAGTTCTATTATCGAATTCTTCTATGAAAAGCAAGGTAGTTCGATCAATCCAGGTCAAAAGTCTAAAATTCACACCATGGCTTTCGTCACACTCGAACATATCGAATGTTACCTTATGAAAACCTGATTCATTTAGAAAAGCAGAAATTGCTAATCTTTTCCTATTATTATAAACAATAATCATTTGAATTCTAACAAAAATGATAAATACTATTATTCTGACTACGTCACATTCGACCTACACCTGTTGCTCAATCAGTCAAAACAAAACGCCTCTCTTCGTTTTTATTGGCCCATGTTTCATCGTCACAAAAAATCATGGCACCACTGCTGCGCAAATCATCAAGAGCAACGCAATAGCGCTCAGGCGGTGCCATAAATATGAGATTATCGAGGGGTACAATGACTTCCGATGTTCATTTATATATATATCCAAGTTTTCTCATCCACTGCCATAGCGATGTCGTTGACTGAATAGGAAAGTCAGTATTCGAGGCCTGAACATGGATAATAATCTTGTTGATGATAGGGTAGATTTGCCCTGCCATAAGGTTACTCTTTGATTAAATCTTTGGTTATATTAAACTCGTCGAATAGTCTCCTGCTGTTGTTTCGTTAAAATAGTTGATGAACGACTAGAATTTGATAGTTTACACGGCGAGCTAGGATCAGGATTACTGATTGATACGATGTTGATGCTGATTGTGGATGATGATGATGAAGACGATGATCTTGATCATAAATTTCGCAGTCGACTAAGTACCTGAACCTTTTGATTCTCCATTTGTTCTTTCTCCTCATTTATTTTTCTCTTCCTTTCCATCACGTCATGTTGAATGTCTCTCATCTCGCTCTTCAATCGTACCACAGATCTCATAGAAATATCAACCGTAGATCATAGTCGTTCATTGACATTGAACAGTAGGATTACTGATTCAAACTTTTATTTTTCGACAAACTTGATGACATTGAAAAATATCTGCTTTGTGTCTTAAGAAATTCATAACCTTTCGGCATATTTATAGTGGATGTCGACAGTAGAAATAACTATTGACTGCCTAAATTACATTATAACGGGTGGTCCAGAAAGAATTGCCCTCTCAGTATTTTTAAGAGTTCTCCTCTATTATCCCTGTGATTAAAGCTCTTTTTATCATCAAAAGATAGCGCTTGGAATTCTCTACAAAACCATATATACCCAGACCCCAAAACAGTTTTAGATATATTTAAAAAAATTCGAAAACAAAAGACATGCACACCGCTGTAAAAAATAAATATGTTTCCCGCAATAAATGCCCGCATTTTGCACTTCATATTTTAATCTATAAATACGTTTCATTAGAAAAACAAAATATACTACAAGATGCAGCGTGAAAAGCTCTACAACATGCACATTAAAGTTTATTTTTAATAATATACTTCTTGTTTCCAAAAAAAGGCAAAACTCTGTACGACCAATTTTCGTCGTTGCGAAAACCGATCGCACAGATTTTGAAGTTTTTTTGAACATAAAAAGTACACAAATAAAATAAACTGTTCTTTGTAAATTGTAGGGCTTGTCAAGCTGCTTCTTGTGGTATATTTTGTTTCTTTTGAAGGATACATATTAGGTGATAAAAAGAGAAAATAAGAAAAAGGAATTCTCGTTGGTATAAAAAAAAATGATTTTTTTACAATGACGAAAATTGGTGTCGCAGAGTTTTGCTTTTTTTTAAAACAAGAAGTACATTATTAAAATAAACTTTAATTTGTAGGTTGCAGAGCTTTTCACGCTGCATCTTGTGGTATATTTTGTTCTTTTAATAAAATGTATTTATAGATTAAAATATGAAATGCAAAGTGTGGCCATTTATTATGGGACACCCGTTATTTATTTTTTACAGCGGGGTGTATGTCGTTTGTTTTCGAATTTTTTCAACTATATCTAAAACTGTTTTGGGGTCTGGGTATATATGGTTTTGTAGAAAATTTCAAGCCCTATCTTTTGATGATAAAAAGAGCTTTAATCACAGGGATAATAGAGGAGAAATCTTAAAAGTACTTAGAGGGCAATTCTTTCTGGGCCACCCGTTAGTACAATCAGTAGAAAAAAATACCCAAATCAGAAAGCAAAAATATGATTCAATGTACCTACTGGCCTAGGCGTGTCGCTTGTGGTCATCAGTATTTGTACTGGCCTTCGATCTAAGCGCGATCAATGAGATCCTAGCGATTTTCTCCTAAAAAATTGAGTCATTTCAAATGACGTATTTCGAGTTAAGTAGCAATGGACATCGGCTGATCAAACCAAAGCCTCCGTTCAAGCTCATTAGAAATGTTTATTGACTCTAAGTTACGCTGAAAAGATTTCGAAGCATGTCCTTTACTATGAATTTCTGAATCGAAGCAACATCTATCGCATGACTACGATGTCTTTGATCTTACTCTACTGCATGCTGAAAAAGTGATGTGGTTCTCGTTCACATCACTGAATTCATCTCAATTTTGTTAATCAACTGATGGTGAATCTGCCGCCTTACTTTGATGAAAACTCTAATCGATAAATTATACGTCAATAAACAATAAATTCAGATCAGATTATCCAGACACTGCTCGAAGTTGACGATGTGCAAGGGAAAGTGATGATTTATTGTGAAATAGGACACAGAAACATTAGTCAGTGTTCTTTCGATGAACTTATCTGAACCACGCGAGACAAACTCGTGAATGCAGTCGAAAAATACATCAGACTGAATTCTTTTTCAAAGAAGCTCAGCCGATAACTTGGGTCATGAATAAAACTCGTAGATATTCGTTCAATCAAGATCCGAGTAACTCGACGAAGGAGATTCGGACCATTTGTTTCCTCATCACAATCGATATAAAACTGCGTATGCTATGAAAGGTGTTCAATTAGTCTCCCATCCATGGTGATGACGTGAATTGTTGTCGTCTCAATTGTTTCAACCCGTATGTACCAAGGTCCTATTGTGAGTGTGTGAGGTTGAATGAAGGGAAGACTCTTACCCATCTGCCTGCACATGTAAATAGTTTGCTCACAGACAACGATTGTCTGATTACATATCTTTTAAACAAAGTGTCGCAGATCGCAGTCATCTGTATGTGATGCAATTCGTACACATCCACACGAGATACGAAGTTAACAATAGTGTGATGCATTTACATTCTAATTAATTTAGAATTCCTGCATCTGAATGCAATACAAAAGACTCATGATTTATTGAATTTCAATACAACTTAACACAATGATAGTTTATCTAAAAATGTTTCTAGTTTGAAAAATAATATGAAATGTTTGTCTCATTCAAAAAGAAACAACAAATTCTTGATCTTTGATGCTATATTCCATTGTAGTCGATCTTTTTTGATCATTATTGGCCAAGACTGCTAGATAATCTTTCAGCCATAATTTAAATTCGGTACTAAATGATTGTGAGGCTTGTTGTAGTTTTGATAGTCTTAGTTCAAAATGATACAATTTAGTACATTTACCATTGAATATTAATGGCAAAAGAGCGTAAAAATTGTCGACTGGAAAAGCTATATTGACTTCCATATATAGAAATTGTAAATTCGTTGAGAATGCATTCAAGATTTGAGTTATATCTTGCAGTAATGGCGGATCTCTATGAAATGTGATTGAGACAGACTGAATCTGCTTTGTTAACATGTGAACGACTAGTGGTGATTCGAACAAATCCAATAGGTAGTCGTAGGATAAATCAAGTCGACGAATTTTTGGCATTTTGTTGAAAAGACGACGTACTAATGTTCTTGATGGATAATTTACATTGCTTGGTACATTTAAGGTAAATTGAAGCTGAGTGATTTTTGATACATCAGGAATAGATTTAATCAGATCCGAACAGATCATACTAAAGAAAAAAAATTATATGCATATGAAATTCACGTGCAGAGTTCATGAGTCTTAGATTTTGCAAACAAGTCTTTAGGTTTAAACGATATCCCACCAGTTGAAACTCATAGTTTTAGCACTAAATTTAATTGTAATTGATAGTGATTGCCCTTTTTTTAGAAATCTATAAAGTTTGGGAAAAAGCAGAAAATGTTCCTTGAAGAAATTATTTATCACACCTGCTTATAGGATCGTTTTCTTTTGGTCTTGTTGTCATTTGTGAATGGATTGTTATTATTGTTACGTTTGGATAAATTGTCCTGCTTTGATTCGTCAATACTAGTTGTTCAACATTATCATGTAATGTAATTTTTAATTTTGTTATATTTTTATCGACATCAATCGTATTGCTTGTTGTTTTCATATATCGTTGCTTTCCATAAAATTCTACAGCATATTTTCTATTATGTGCGGACTGTGAATAGGTATAAACTTCTAATGTTGGCGGCTCTAAAACATGATTGTAATCCATAATGACAGGACCGTCTATCCATTTGTAATGATTGCTGTTGTATGAATGAACCAGTTCAGGTGATGGACATTGTTGAATAGCAGAGCCTCAAATGGAACAAGTATGGCATTTCATCTCTACTGGAGATTACTGAACAACGAACAGCTTACCGGTGATTCGTATGTAGAATTGAAATTTTTCTAATTTTGTTAGATTTGTGGAAATAAACTCGTGCCATATTGTTGACGAAGCAAAGTTCAAATCGAAAGTCGATGTTGAAAATGTTAAATGTCTTAGATTGGGAAATAATTTTAGGACGAGTTGAAAGTCCGTTAATGATAAATAATGAAAAGACATATAAAGACGATTTAATGATACTAAAAAAGAGCAAAATTCTAAATTGTTAAGAATAAGCAAGAACTTAGCTTTCTATTTTAAGTCTTGAGTGACACGCTTGGGAATAAGTACTATAAACTATCGTTTCTCTAAGAAAATTTCAGTTGAATGCGTTAAACATAGACTTATGACTGATATCTAAGTGAACAGTGTGTGATACCATACATCGAGAGCAATAAAATACCGAATGACACATAAATAATTATAGTCTGAATAGTTGTTAATTGTCATCTTCTCATTACACTTGATTGAACTAATATTTTAACCTAATTTTTCCCTTTGTATCACAAAATGCGCAGATAAAATATTATGCAAAAGATTTTGTAAGACATCATAATGAAGAAAAAGTAAGTTCACAAATAAACTAATAAAGTAGGTTTTACTGAGCTTGTGTGCCAGAGAAGAAATGAAATAGTTATCATTTAGGCGTTAAAAACCTCTATATTGTAGGTATGGTTTTTATAAACTTCAGTTACGATTAAGTGCGCCTAAATCATTATAAGTATAAGTTAAGTTTCTAAAATATTACGGATTTTTACCAATTTATTTTGACGATAGATGATTAAACACTATGATCGCAAAAGTATATTTGATACTAGGTAAAAGTCTAACAAAATGCATTTTGATGTTTGTGATATCATTCGACAGAGGTTGAGCACTTCTTGAGAAAACGCATTTATTTTATGCTATCTTTAGGCACCTTATACAATCTTTCATGCAATTTTTCATCTTTAAAGCATTCAATAGAGAATCGTTTGGCAAAAAAACCATTAGCTCAATAAAATGTAGAGAGCAGAAGACTAATTGGAAAAAAAATATATATTGGATTTATTTATGTGCTACACGTAAAGTAACTTTTGTATGTATGATATCTGTTTACAAATTTGCATGATTTTGCTCATTTCATCTCAATTCTGAAATCAAAAATTTTCGTACGCTATAATCTATATTTCTATTGAACAATATGTGTTCACATTCCTAATAGGTCATTAGTTTCTTCAATACAGTAACTCTATTCTTTTTCTACGAATAACATGCATCGTTGAGTTGGACCCGTTTATAACTAATGTTTCAAGTTGATAAGAATGTGCCACTCGCAAACTTTGCATTGCTTAGAAAAGAACTTGCATCTTGTGCCTATCTCACCTGGTATTTGAGGATGTCCTCCATCACCATACAGTAAATTATCGATTATTGCTGGATCAATTGATGCCGGATCCTCACGACGTTTATAAAGTATAGTAATGGCCATTCGTTTTACATTTGGACCAATATATTTGAGTAGCTCCAAGAAATGTATCATATAACAACTGTTCAATTCTAAATATTCAAGTTTAGTCCACGAACAAATAGCATTATCAGTTAAATGCAGTAGAATTGGATCGAATGAATGTAGAATTAAACGTTTTAAGGAACGAATTGAAAATAGTCTGGCTGTTATATATGGTGATTGTATTAATGTGGCATAGATATTCAAATAATGTAGATTTGATAATGAATGAAATTTTGACAATATTTTATCTAAATACAAGAAAGTCAAATGTAATAATGTAGACTTCAAATACATGTAAATTCGTACTCAAATTCTCTGGAGACGATTTTCGAATAGTTAATGCTCTCAAATTCTTGAAAAGACTAATATCCATATGTCGATTGACCAATGTCAGACGATCACATTCGTCGGATAATTTTAAACTATAGATCTGTGATGCAAATGGCTGCTGACTAGAACAATAATAGTCAAATGCATATTTTAACCTTGTCAGATCCATTTGAAATTCTTGTGAATAACAAATAGTATTTAGACGTAAATTTAAATTGTAGAAAGCCCGATGTAAATCATTGAGCGATAGAAATTGAAATATGTACAGCAATAGTTCATTCGGTAATTGTTCGAAGCTCAGTTTCAATCGAGATGTGCCAATCTAAGAATTATAAATTTTCATGATTATTTGATTATTATGACACAGCTTGACATGATTGGGTGACTCAATCTTCAATCGAATTACATAAGATATTTTCCTCAGGTAGTCATAAATGGATAGAGAATACAAAACGAGTTTTTGGATATAAGCGGGGAACTTAGTCTGCACAACACTTTCTAGTTATTCGATCATTATTGAATGTCATATTTTCGAGACAAAATTATTGCACATCTTACTTTTAATTCATTGGTTCGAAATTTTTCCACATTTGTTACTGATGTCCTTTGATCTATTGAAGTAGATGCCTGACGTAAAACAAATGATTCTAGATCGTATAACACCAATGATGCCATTGAATTACGACGGCATGATATGAAGCTCATGTCAATGATTTATGTGATTCAAAAAAACTAAAAAATAGCACATATGTAGCGTCGTGCAAGACCCGACGATTTTACTTTTAGGAAGTACAGAACAAAACGAAATTTTGGCCATTAATAGGCTTTTTCTTCATTTGTTGGTAGGAAAGAGAAAAACGTGTTTGATCCGAGTGGTTTTTTGTTGTTATAGATAAAGTTAAAGCACATATATTCGTCTCGTTAGAAAAAAAGAACAAAAAGCAACAAGGCAAAAAAAATACTGTGCACGTGATATTTCTGCGTTATTGTTGAAATTACAGGAACAGAATGTATGGATTCATTCCCAATCAAAAAAAGAAAGGGAAGTGCTTTTCGATGCAAATTCTTTATTTTAAATCAACATAGGATGAGTTGTTCCATTTTCTAGATTGAATGTGGGTGTGAGTGAAGAATAGAACCACTAATACCGAACACTCACGAACCACTTACACCTTTTTTATTTTCATTTCATTGATAATTGAAATTTTTAATGAAAATCTTTTTGAGCTGAACTATTACAATTTAATGAAGATTTTTGTATGTTTGAAAAAGAATTTTTTTTTAATATTTTGATTAATTATATCAATTTATGTATTATTTTTAAGTTTAAAAATTCAGGTTTTTATCTTACGCCACTTGATATATATATTACTTAATCATACGGGTACTGAAAATTTGATACTTGGTGGAAATATTTGTGTTTTATTGAGTGCCAATAATGAATAATTTTTTAACTTTCAAGGAAAATTATGTGTTTAGAAGAAATGAAAATTATATCTAAAGATGATACACCAGCATCAATTGAAGTTATAAACGAAATTTTAAAAAATAGATGATAAAAAGAATATGGAAGCAAAATGTGATCAAATTATCAGAAAATAAGAAATTTTGTTTTTTTTTTTGCTTTTATTTCATACGTCTACTTCAGAAGCAAATACTCGTGCATGTACAGTGCTGCTCAAAATTATAAAAAAAAATATTTTTTTTCTGTAACACTGGACATATAACTGACATCTAAATAGTGATTTGAATAGCTCTTTCATGAAATGTGGTAGAAAACGCAGTGACTTCTCATTCTCTTCAAAATTTAGTGCTGTTTCAGACAGCATTCTTAAAAAATATATCTCAAATAGTCTTCTGGTACTGAGAAAATACCTTGTTCTATTTTTCTTTTAAGAACTTCACTATCATAGTCCATCCATGCAGTCTTCATATACAATGTATCTAATAGAAAACTTCATTCCAAGTAAGGAAATGCTAGCCGAAAAATTCTAGAACCTTAGAGGAGAGAATCCAATGACTGAAGCTACACGTCTACAGTCAACACTGACCACAGATAGAAAATTCTGGTCATCAGAACTATTGATCTTGAATAGAATTGTATCACAAACTTCTTATATGATGATCAGAAAGCTGTTAGCGCAACATCTGCACGATGACAATGTTACACCTGATATAAATCTGCAAATATTATATATCAGAAAATTTTGCAATATAGAGTTCAGTTTGTCAATTCTAATTTACTGTTTGTATATGTTCGTAATGAAAGATATTGATCGTAAAATATTGTAAGAAAGTTTAAATGAAACCCACATCGCATGTATATTAAATTCAATCATTTTTCAAAATAATCTGACAGTAGAATTCAAATCAGCAAAAAGTGTATCTTACCATTGAATTTACATTTTTGCAGTAATGTTCTAAATTTTTGATATTATATAATACGAAATGGACAAAATAAATTCATACAAAATTGACTTATAGCAGTAGCGTATATCGCATTGATTTTTTTAAACTGAATCCTGGGTATAAAAAGAGATCAGTTTTAATGAACTTTAAAATTGCCTAGTTCAAAGAAGGCTAGTAGTTAATAATCGTAAACACATGTCGTTGATAAAACTCCATGCTGAATATTATGTTGTAAAGAGTCATAGTGATAAGAACTGTGATACTAAATTTTATAAATTTTTTTAAAAGATGAAATTTATATTATTTCTACTGCAATGAAGTATCCGACGGAATATTCTTGAATGTCGGACTTCAATAATGCTCATCCGGTATTATTCAATGTATGTAACCCATTTTCTAAACTATTACAAATAGAAATTAAAAGTCTAAATAATATTTCTAATTCTAATCCTTTCTTTTTTACCAGGTTTATTATCTTATCTGTATTCCATCAAATGAAGGTGTCAAGTATCGCAACGCATATTATCTTCTTTGTATTGAGCTTTGCAGGATAATTTATGTATCTCATGTTGAATATTGTGTACTTGAAATTTCATCTGATGTTAATAATTCAATTTTATAATTGGAAGATTTTATCAATTTTTTTTAAACATATTCATTACCAATAATCGAATATTATATTTATGGGTGTGGCTTTGGATGAAGATAACATGACCCTGCGGCCACATCCCGTTATTGAATTTGAAATGGCATTGAAACGAAATGATTGTTGTTATTATTTATCCTCATCTTTTGTAGCAACTTGAGCTTGGATATATTTATTAAAATTAGCAAAATTATAAATGATATTACTTTCTTATGTATATTAGTAATAATAGTTTATATGAGGATATACAATCGTTACAGATCTAAAACAAAACAAAATTCACTGATACCGTTATTAAAGAAATTAGTTAGTCGGCAAAGAATTTAAAAAGAATAACAATTTTAAAGAATCAAAATCAAATCGAGGATGATTATTATTTGTTTTGCACAAGTTATTAATCATTACTTTGTCCAATATCATGGCAATGATGTTGTTAATTTTTTCATGTATATTTTTTTTAGATTATTCCGTTTGGATCGGTTTGGATTTAAAGATAGAACAATTCTAGTATAACTAAATATAGAATTCATATGATATTGACCAAAATAACGTTGACCATAAATATGAAGCATAAAACTTTGAATGAAGATAATTATCTGTGTAATTAATCATTAAAAAAAATTAATAGGTTTTTTTTATTTTGGAATCCAATTTTTCATATATGGGGGTGGGTGTATATGCTTTTTGTTTTGCGCTCATAGTCGCAATGCCAAATGTCAAATAGGTCCATGCAGTCATTATTGTTTTCTTTTTTTCCTTTCTACTTTCGTTCTTTCTGAGAATAGAATGTGAGAAACATAACGTATCACACGAAGAATTTTTCTTAGCTTTCGCACGATTGATCACCCATGTTATCTCCAATCATTAATGATCAAATGTATAATTCTTGTGCAGATAAATCAAGCTAAATCCCTACACACATAAATAGTGACATGAGTTAATGGAATTCCTCTTAGTGTGTGTGTGTGCTTGATTTTAGCATAATGAAAATCGGGTTCTAATAGTATTGTCCGACGAAAACGAATTGTCAGAATTTTTCTCTTAAAAGAACGATCTTGGGTTTTAATCATCAATATCATCGTGTCCTCATGGTCCACAACATCATCTTCCAACATCAAATATAGTGATTAATTATTTCTTTTTTTTTGAAAAAGAGAATCGGGAGAGGGTAGGAATGATATTAAATAAAGACTAAACAAGTGTTAGAGGTCTTGCTAGAGAGAGACGGGATGCGTTAGTCTCGATGAAGTTCCTGTTTAAATATAGGCCATTCGAATAGACTTAAAAGCTCGGGTAGGAACTATCTTGGTTCTCGTGGCACACGACCGGGCTTTCATCAGACTCTTGGGCGCATCTCATGTAGGTGATTTGAATCTGCCCTGTGCCTGCATGAGATTCTCGTATGCACTACTCTAAATAGCCATTTCTATAACCAGTCAACATGAATTATCTGAAGGAAAGAAAGAAAAATAATAAGTGATCGTAATGATTTTATTCGATAGAAAAATATTGAACGCGATGATTAAAATAATCGGCTACATAAAGGTTGCTATGGTGATCGAAGGATAAACCCATGGGCTTGTTCAACTGATTTGCTCCTTCTCCCAAGCCATTTCCACCAACAATGACAGTGCCCTCTTTCGCACCTTTGGGCCAACGCATTACTCGATGATTCAACGAATCTGCCACATAGAGAGTACCCAACATATCGACGAACAGGCCGTGAGGACACGACAGTTGTGTCAGAGCATTTCCTTTGCCTTGACCTCCAGCGACAATTTCTTTTGCACCGTTACTCCATTTCATCACACGATGGTTTTCGTTGTCCGACACGTAGACAGCCTGTTGTCGATCGACAAAGATGTAGAGTGGATCGTTCAGTTGATTTACATTAGCACCTTGTCCGTTGCCACCAGCCACGACAATACCATCATTCTTTTCTATTTGATGCCGTTTTACTTTATGATTTCCAGGATCAGAAATGTAGAGACATCTCTGATCATCCATGGTCAATCCCCAACCTTGGATGTTGTCGACGAGAATTTCTCCTTGAGTTGTACCACGACGACGAGACCATCGTACGACTCGTATATTGTCTCGATCACAGATAATGA